CCCTGATATTTTCCACAGATATGAAAACGGCTACATGTGTGATTTCACTCTTGGCTTTAGCAAAAGCAATTGTTTATTTATTAGCAAGTAGTGTCTTCTTCTTAGCATGTCCTATTAGGCTTTTAATTTACTTACCTAATTTTTTTAATGTTTATTTTTGAAAGAGAGTGAGTGTGAATGGGGGAGGAGGAGAGAGACAGAGAGAGAGAGAGAGAATCTGAAATAGGATCCAGGCCCTGAGCTGTCAGCACAGATCCCGATGAGGGGCTCGAACTCGTGGACTGTGAGATCGTGACCTAAGCCCAAGTCAGATGCTTAACCGACTGAGCCCCCCAGGCGCCCCTAGGCTTTTCATACTCATTATCCCATTTCATACAACCATGCCGTAAAAACTTATGTGCCCATTTCGCAGGGGCAAACAGTCCAAGGGATCTAGCAAGCAGCTAAGCCAGGATAGTAATAACCCAGCTCTGACCCCAGAATGAGGGCTTCCTCTGTGGTACAGCATGACGTTCTTCTCCAGTGATAGGCTGTGTTGATTCTCCTTCTCAATGTACGACTGGCACCCGGTGATCTATCTAAACCTGTTTCTTTTCATGGTCAGGAGCAAGCCATCTGGGTTTTACAGGTTGATTTCTGGCAAAATGAAGTATTCTGTTCCTTCAGGAGGAAGACTGTTTTTTAGTCTTTAAAGAAAAAAAAAAAGACATTTCGTTGATTGCAGCTTAAATCAATCCAGAGCATACGGATTCATTCTCTCTGGATGTGCAGGCAGCCTTTCCTTCCATCACAAGAGGACAAAATGAGTTAGGGTGTCTGTCAAGCAGAGAACGACCGAGGACGAGCCACAAGGCTAAACACACCGGGTCTTTTGTCTGATAAGCAGCAGGAGCTGCTGTTTCCTCGGGCAGTAAACCGTGTCAGGGGAGTGGCTGGCTGTGTCCGTGAGAATCTGTGTTCGCGTCGGAGTATAAATTGGTACACGTGGCTTGTTCTACATCAGCTTAATATATCCGTACCTCAAAAATGGGCTGTATTATGGCTTTGGGGAGTGTGGAACCTAGCTTGAGCCGGATTTTCCCTCTGTCTTACCAAATTCCTTTTTTATGTTTATTTATTTATTTTGTGTGTGTGTGAGAGAGAGGGAGAGAGAGAATCCCAGGGAGGCTCCACGCTATCAATGCAGAGCCTGACACGGGGCTTGAACTCCTGAACTATGAGATCATGACCTGGTATGAAATCAAGAGTCAAATGCTTAACTGACTGAGCCACTCAGGTGCCCCTCATTTACCCAAATTCTTAGTCTATGGATCATTCCTGGAGCACTTACGTCCTCAAAGTGAGCAGGGGTGAGGGGTGAAGGCTCACCTGTGGGCAGTGGGAGCATTTTGGAGCTTGTTTTCTCACTCCTGGGTGTCCCCTCTCCAGCCTGGGTGACTCGGAGAGCAGCCTCACCAGAGGGGACCAGAGAGACCCACAGTGCTGCTGGAGCGTCATCCCTCCATTTCCATCAGCAGCAAACGCCCCTCTGGCCCTCTGAGCGAAGGACCACACTCTTAATGGACATTGATGAAATAGTAATGACCACAGCAGCATCGAAAGACATGAAGGAAGAGAGACCACTCAGAATTTAATAGGAGATGGCTCTGGATTGACTGAGGACACAGCTCCTCTTTATTAAATCATCTATGAACCACTTCAACGGAGATGCTCGTGGAATGGGATGATCTAATTACAGCAGTATCCAGAGGAAGAACACACAGCCAGGGGAGCATGGATGCCACAGGTCGTTTACAAGGAACTTGGCGATACAATTTGGTGCGGGTTTCCTTTTTTATAATTACAGACCTTTTTCTTCAAATAAATACACCCGAATCACATAGAGTAAAAACAAAACCAACCCCCCAGATACCAAAACAAAAACAAAAACACCGCACATGATACAATAGCCTTATAAATGAGAATGAAACGGATACACCTCCAGAAACAGCAGGTTGAGAATGGTCTATGCAGAACCAGAATGCTTTGGGATGGTGTTCCCATCTTGAGTGACAATCAGAGAAAAGAACCAGCACACATTTCCCATTATACGACTGTATCCTGTACAAAGTCCAAGAATAGTTCAAAACAGCTATAAAATTCTGATTTTCGTGGGGGCCGTGAGAGCTAAGGGGTTTTGTGTAATACGTTTCTAAGAGCTGATTGTGTATTAAGTCTGACTACTTACTATTATTTTAAGCTTACATAGACCGAACACAACATTACATGTATTTAAAGATCACGTTATTTCCTCTGTATTTCACGGCAGTTCTTTCCTTCCCTTGAATTTTCTTTCTAGCTAGTTGCCTTTCCTAGGAAAAGTCATAATGGTGAAGTGTTAAAGAGAAGTAAACCCCATTTGAATCCTACGTTTAAACAGGAAAAGCATCTGCCATCACCGAACAAAATATCCGCCCCCCGCCATCACCTTTGTAAAGTGAATATTAACCTACGTAGATGTTAAATAGCTCTTTTCCCTACCCTCCAAGGCCAGGCTCATCATCCCTCCTGGCAAGGCACCCGGACTAAGCTAGCACCTCTCAGTTCTCATACGGGCAGGACTACAATTTAAATGCAAATAACCCTGTGCCTCATTATCTGAGAAGTTCGTGCAGACACAGTACAGTTGTGACTTTGCCTGTGAAAATAAAAGGAGGTTCATCTGTATTCGAACACACGCATTACTTAGAGTAGATTCCAAAGAGCAATTCATCACTGGTCTCAAATTAAACACTGGAGTTGCGGAGTGCCTAGGTTACGGAGGAATGCCTTCCTTTTTGCTATACAGGAGACGCTTTCCTACAAAGGCAAGGAGATAGGAACTTCTCTGACCATCGCTCTTCAGTGAGTACCCAGTGACACTGGGTGACTGGCCTTTAATAGGAACACAGCTAGTTGAGTGGAAAAGATACATTTATGGTAACGCTAAGCACAGCTGGATGACGATGTATATGCCTCCAAATACCACTGACGGGAAAATGGCCACATCAGCTTGAAATGCGGGAAAATTATCCACAGTGATTTAGCAAACCGACCTCACTCCAGAAGATAGTATTTTTTGTTTTTTTTATGTTTATTTTTTGCAAAATCATCTTCTAAATATAAGGTTATTCTAAAATAATTCTTTGGTTAAAGTATACTTCAAATAAAAAGTAGAAACTCCTCCAAGCCTTCCACTACAGGGTGAAAAATACCCCCCTCTTTTAGCCATCAGATGGCCATTTAATCAGCCATTCAGATTCTATGAATCTAAATGTAATGGAAAACACTGTATTCTAACTCCACACTGGGGTAAAGCTCCTAGCTACCGACGCAGCGATGGAGAAGAGGGCCTGGGAAAGTAAGACTCCCAGCTTGTGCATTAAAATGTGCCAATTATTCTAGTCCACAAGGAATAGACGTGGCATGTTAAAATCACCGAAACCCAAGTCCCATCTATGAATAATCCTGGGGCATTAGCCGATTGATGTGGCACAGTAGGGCAAGCAGCAAACTGTTGCAGAGTTTCAGTCCCAGATTAAATCCTTCAGTTAATTTCATCTCTGTTCATTTCAGGTAACTTTCTACATTAAAAAAAAAAAACAAAACAAAACACCAGAAACATTTGATTCTTCCTCTCTTGCATGTCCGTCCTTCCTTCCTTCCTTCCTTCCTTCCTTCCTTCCTTCCTTCCTTCCCTCCTTCCTTCCTTCCTTCCTTCCTTCCTTCCTTCCTTCCTTCCTTCCTTCCTTCCTTCTCTCTCCTCCCCTCCAGGTTTTGTTCTTAATAAATATCAGCCTCAGATCCAAAAGAACCACGCTGAACTTCAGGCTGTAATATCAACCTAGGATTTGTGGATGAAAATGAAATCATGTAATATACTTGTGCATTCCTCTTACTACACATAGATTCAACATGATTTTCAGAGAATTTCTCAGTTGGGAGTCTGAGTTTAGTTTTTTAAACAGGTATATGTGAAAAGAGAATTTAATAGGAATTCCAACCATTCAGACCATTTTGATAAGCAATCTAGAGGATTCAAGCAGAGGAATAAACTCTCTAATTCAGGGTTTTCCACCTAAATTATTCAGTAAGTGATTTCAGATCTGTGCCTCCTGCTCATGTAGATGACAGCCTAAGACTCCATCCATATTGTGCTAAGGACGATAGATTGTTGCCCAGCTAACCTGGCCTATCAGGTCATCTAGGACCAAGACAGCCAAGAGCGAGGGAGGGCATGGCCTATTCTAAACTTTGTTCAGTTCAAGTACAGACCCTGCCGAGAACACACCGCTAAAGCTTTCAAGGAAATCGGACGTGAAGCGTTCAAGCATTATTCTGAGCATTGGAAGTCCATGAAAATTTGTGGAGAATCTAATAAATGTGACAGATGTGGTTAAACAGTGGATTCCTTTCATGACGGATAAAAGAACGAACAGCAGTGATGTTACATCGGCTGTAACGTGATTTTTCTCTTAAAGCCTTTTAGGAGAAAGGAGTATTTCCCCCATTATAAGGTTAAAACTTTTCTATTACTCAATGGTATCCGCCCAGAGTACTTTTATACCCAGTAGCGGGATCAGTGTTTGTGCAGTGCTGGAAGAAATCAAGATTGTTTCTTAAAACGTAAAATTCATGACCTATGTGTCCAAGTGACTTACAAAGAAAGAAAAACCAACTGTAAGCCTCTTGCTGATTAACATACATAGCCAGCATCCTTTTACTTCTTTTTAGGAATCCTCAAATGCCAGTTTCAAACAGGAGCATAGATCTATTTTTACATACTGGGTTTTACGTCTATTTGGGTTTTGAAGCTTATTCAAGTGCTACAACGTCTATTGATTTGTTTTGCACTAATGTTTCCTTTAAACGTCTGGGACTTTTGCACACATATTCTATCTAGTGAACTACACTGTACCAGACCACTGTCTGTTGCCAACAGTCAGCTAGTCACACAATTAAATACACACTGATAACTGATGTTTTGGTTTGATTGTCATTTATTTTTCTTTTAAATAGACTCCCTCTGAATTTGGGAAGCAAGGTATGAGGAGAAACCACAGGACATGGCTCTCCCACCTTTTCTTAAGTAGCCCTACCTACATATTTTAAGTTATAGAAAAACACACAAACAAATAAAAACGACAGCACAAACAGCGATCGTGACTGTCATCCTTTAAATTAGTTCCCTGACTTCAATATACTTCCCTGGTATAACCGACCCATTGGTGGATGTTCTGCTATGTTTGACAGGTACCCTAAGTGTACAATGACCTGACCCTTGGAATGGTTTGTAAAGATGTCCATATTGCACAAGAATGAGCTGCTTGCTGACTCAAATAATGTATCGAACGTACATGCTTTCAAATCGTCGACATCCTTAACCAGTTACCACAGTCTAGACTCTATGGGCAAAGACAAGCAAATCGTGGCCGTTTGGAAGTGCTGTGACATGGAAAATTCCAGGTGACTTTATATTTTGCAGGTTCTTTGCTCCTATAGCTGAATACTTCACACGTTTATCTTCCTCCTGAGTCTCCAAAAGTGCTTTGTCTCCCATTTCACAGACAGAAGCAAGCGGGGGAAGGGCTGTAGCAAAAAGCTGTAGCCAGCTGTTCTAGAGACAATGTGGTGGTACCGGGGTGGATGTGAGTCCTCAAGCAGGCGTCTTGAGCCAGCAGCACTGGTGGGTGGGTCACGTTGAGGGTAGAATTTGATGGGGAATCTAAGAATAACTCTGCAGGGGCATGTTTTCTAAGAACGGTCAAAGAATTCTTCAGCTTGGCTTTGCCTCACTGGAACATGGAGTTAAAAAGAAAATCCCATCACCAAAATGGCAGCTCAGTGTCCCTCCAGCTGGATTCTGGACTTACTCCCTCATCCTGAACCTTTCCTTAGCGCGAGCTGACCGCTCCCTTTGGGAGCGCTCTGACTCCTTGGCCATGCGTAGAAGGAAGGAAGAAACCCATCCTTTGCCGTAGCAGCTGCCTCGATTTGTGAAGACAATTCTCGAAAGCCTTGTTAGCTAGGTAAGCATCCAGAGAGAATGAATTTTATCCCTGAATCAAGTCTTTTTCTCCTTCACACAGTCTCATCATGAGAGCTTTAAAGCGTGAAAGGAAATATGCTAAATTATTCTGAGCTGTCCACTGAGAAGGTGGTGCAGACTTTCCCACTGTTCCTAAAGACACAGAAAGACCCTTCTCCCAAAGGCTTGCTAAAGCCTTTCCATCTCATTCAGTGGTGTGGCTTATTCCTGTAGCAAGGTCTCTCTCCAGTTAAAGCCCCCAGTTGGTCCATGGGTAAGAGGAAGGATAGGTGGGTCTGTCAGCTGCCATATTCCAGTTTCTCCCAGTTCTTCACAGGAACAAAACCCCAGGTATGGGATCTGAAGTCAGAGTAGTAAAGATAGGGAAGAATAGAAAACAGAGGTTTAATGCTTTAACTTTTACCTAGACACAAAGATCTTCAGGTGGCCCATGAGAATAAAGAGTATTCATTGGGGCGCCTGGGTGGTTCAGTCGGTTAAGCATCTGACTTCGGCTCAGGTCATGATCTCACGGTCCGTGAGCTCGAGCCCTGCATTGGGCTCTGTGCTGACAGCTCAGAGCCTGGAGCCTGCTTCGGATTCTGTGTCTTCCCCTCTCTTTGACCCTCCCCTGTTCATGTTCTGTCGCTCTCTGTCTCAAAAATAAGCAAACATTAAAAAAAATATATTCACAGGCATTAATAGGGGCTCGGTAGACCTGCGTCTCTTCGAAGAGTCAATAAAGACAAAGGAGATGGACAAAGCTGACAAATTAGAGGGAAGAGTATTTACACTGCAAGGGGATTCATCGGAAGGCTTTATTAAATGGTGAGCTCCCTAGCGTAATTAAGTAATTGTTTATAGATTGCTTCTTGATTGTGTGGGAGGAAAGAGGACAATAATGCAGAAAGCCGAGGTGCTCAGAGTTGATTCTTAATTGCAAATCAAGCTAAAAATGCAGCTTGGACATTTCAGAAATAATGTTGGGGCAGTGAGAGAGAGGATGCTATTTTTAAAAATATTTCACCCAGTTTTGTCCTTTTTTTTTTTTTTCTTTTGGCATGGGCACCTATAACATTCAAAGCGGGAGCTGTGCCATTCCTAAATTCAGCTCGAAACGTATTTTTGTGTGTCACCAGAGCTGCAGTTATACACAAAAGCAAAAATCTCTGCCCTCAAGCAGCTTACGGAGTCACGGGGAGACGTGGACGCATAAATGAGCTTTTAAAAACGGAGAAAAAGAATCGCAATTGAGTTTGGATCAGGTTTCTCCGGGGGCAGATACAGGAAGCACGTAGCTCAGCCTGGAGGGAAGCGTGTGGGAGGGCGACTGACAGGAAAGCCTCTTGCACAGGCATGAGAAGGAAGAAGCCAGATGTGTTGGTCAGTCTCATGGGTTTTGTCTTATGGCCTTGTTCCTGGTTTGCCCAACAGCCCGATCGTTTAAAAAAAAATTTTTTTTTTTTTTTTTTTTTTTACATTTATTTATTTTTGAGAGACAGAGCACAAGTAGGGGACGGGCAGAGAGAGGAGACACAGAATCCGAAGCAGGCTCCAGGCTCCGAGCTGACAGCACAGAGCCCGACGTGGGGCTCGAACTCACACACCGTGAGATCATGACCTGAGCCGAACTCGGATGCTCAACTGACTGAGCCACCCAGGCGCCACCAGCCTGATCGTTTTAAATCACTGCTTGCTTTGGCCTACCTGCCAGGCCCTCTCTTCTGGCTGAGGCTTCAGATGCTCCGTGTTGGTCCACTCCCCCCTCTTCATCCAATCCATGGCCCCCCGAGGGAAATCCAGACAGCCTGCTGATAATTCTTAGCTCCTTTCTAAATGTGCACTCTTAGCAACTAAAACCAGCTCAAACACATCTCTCTTCCACAAGGCCTCATAAAGTGCCTTACACAGAGCACCACTCAGGACATCTTGGTCGAGTGAATCAATATGTGCGTATTCCCAGCTCAGGATAAACTCGTGCTGCAAACAACTTAGCTACCGGCCAGTCATCGAACTGCTCTGAGACTACTTGGCACCACAGGCCTCCGAAATGTAAGTGTGAATTACCTTTCGGACCATTTGTACAAAGTCCTTGGAGTTCTGGGGTGACAGACCCTGGAGCTGGCAGGTACATGCTTCAAGGGAAGATGCGTGAGCCACAATCAGGATGTTATTTCCTGGAGAAGAGAAAAAAAAAAAAAAAAGGCAAGGGACTGGGAAGACCATTCCTATAAAGACCTATGTTAACTCCATAAATACTGGAAGACGAATGTTCCAGGGAGGGACAAACATTCTCAAGAATGAGACAATTTGGCTAAGCGATTGGTAAGGCAGCCTAACATCATTAAAAAACAAACAAACAGGGGCGTCTGGGTGGCGCAGTCGGTTAAGCGTCCGACTTCAGCCAGGTCACGATCTCGCGGTCCGGGAGTTCGAGCCCCGCGTCGGGCTCTGGGCTGATGGCTCAGAGCCTGGAGCCTGTTTCCGATTCTGTGTCTCCCTCTCTCTCTGCCCCTCCCCCGTTCATGCTCTGTCTCTCTCTGTCCCAAAAATAAATAAACGTTGAAAAAAAAAATTAAAAAAAAAAACAAAAACAAACCAACCCTTTTAATCTTAAAATAATTATAGATGCACAGGAGGTTATAATTATGTATATATACAATATATAAATATTTACAATATATTAAGTTATATAATGTATATACATATATATAATTATACACGTATGACCTCTATATTGTGTAACGTGTACATACACAAACATATATTGTGTGTGTGTATCGTATATATACTATATACTAGACTGTATACTATATACACACACACACACACACACACCAAGGAGGTCCCATATTCCGGTCATCCAGCCTCCTCCAGTGGTAACATCTTGCCTAGCTATGGTACCGTAGCTCAATCAGGATGTGGATGCTGATACAACCTACTTGGTTTATTTCGGTTCCACCAGGTTTAACCAACGATCTCCTGTGTAACTCTTCGTAACCTCCACAATCGAGATACAAATTATTCTGTGTCTGTAGGGCTCTCTGCCACTTCTAATAACAATTCTCAATGTCACCACTATAGAATTGGGTGAGCACTTCATACTTTCTGGCTGATAGAATATGCTGATGAGTATCTTTACAGTGGGTGCATAGGAGTAGTAATGAAGTGAGTGGTTTATCAATGTTTAAAAATTTTTTATTTTTGAGAGACAGAGGGAGACACACACACAGAACCTGAAGCAGGCTCCAGGCTCTGAGCTGTCAGCACAGAGCCCGACACCGGGCTCGAGCTCATAAACCGTGAAATCATGACCTGAGCCGAAGTCAGACGCTTAACCGACTGAGCCACCCAGGCGCCCCGAAGAGAAGTAACTTAAAAAGGAATGGTAATGCGCATACGCTTTTGTAATCCTTTTTTATCTAAAAATTTAGAGTGAATTGTCTTATGTATCACTTAATATTTGAGTTCAGTGTCTATAAGATTCAATAGGGAACATACTGGAATCTTCCAGAACACTACTTTTGGTCAGTGCTAGCAGTGACCGTGTATTGGTGAAGCTGTGTTTGTGTGTGGGTGCCTGTGCCCCTGGATCAAATTATAGGCAAAATAGTGTTATGCAGAATTGTAAACTATTTCATACAGTAACTAAGTCTGGTGTATTCCTATGGAATATCTGCCATTTTAGCTACTCAAGAGAGGATATTACAAATTTAACGTGAAAAGTATCTACATGAAAGTCTAGAACTACTTTTCTTTCTCATTAAGTAAGTTAGAATATCTTGAATAGCCTATTAACCAGGATGGAGAAATGATCACATATTTAACATTTGTTTATTTATTTTGAGAGACAGCACAAGTGCAGAAGGGGCAGAGAGAGAGAGAGAGGGAGAGAGAGAATCTCAAGCAGGCTCTGCACTGTCAGCACAGAGCCCGACGTGCAGGGCCTGAACTCACAAAACCATGAGATCGTGACCTGAGCTGAAATCAAGAGTTGGACGCTTAACCAACTGAGCCACCCAGGCGCCCCTAAATGATCACATTTTAAAATATGGAGTCCAAAATAATACCACCTACCTTTACTTTTACATTCACTTATTATTTCTTTTGTTACTTGGAAACTTCTACTAATATAAGTGTCATAGGATTCTGAAACCACTAATTTGCCGACTGGAATGTGAGGTCTGTAATAGAAAAATGAACAAAGGCAATGAAAACATTTTGATCCCAAGACAAAGCAACTGATATTATTCTAAACTTTTTCTTTCAAGACCTTTCTGGAGTTCCATGTTTCTGTTCACCCATTTCCCTAGAAAGGATGGAGGTATAGGGAAGAGTATTTCCACTACATGGAAGTGGGGTCCAAACGTACACAATGCACAGAAATACAGGCTGTGCATGTGTGGTGTTAGAGTGACCGGCTGAAAAATGAAACATTTTTCATTTGCAGATATCACTTGCAGGATAACTCATAAGCAGTTTGACTAATCTTACCATCAGTGCTAGGTCACATTGCTAACGGGAAGCAGAGGTTAGATTGATTTCTTTCTTTCTTTCCTTCCTCCCCTTTCTTTTCTTTCTCTCCTTCCTTCCCTTCCCTTTCCTTCCAACATGTTAACTGTTCTTTTCTTTTTCTTTCATGTTTTATTTATTTATTTTCTGAGAGAGAAAGAGAATGAGCAGGGGAGGGGCAGAGAGAGGACAGAGACAGAGAATCCCAAGCTGGTTCTTGGCTGTTAGTGCAGAGCCTGAGGCGGGGCTCGAACTCACCAACTGTGAGGTCATTACCTGAGCGAAAACCCAGAGTCGGATGCTTAACCGACCGAGCCACCCAGGCGCCCCACTCTCTTTCTCTCTTTAGATCACCAGAGATTTCCTAAGCCTCTCTTCTGTAGCCTTACCCATGAGAAGCTGTAAGGATAGGTTTTATTTATTTTTACATTGTTTCCAGATTTATTGGGATAGAATTGACACTTACCGTCATGAAAGTTTAAGGTGTAAAAGTGTTGATTGGATACCCTTACATACTACAAGACGATTTCCACCGTAGTGTTGCCTAGCACTTTCGTCACGTCACATAATCAGTTTCCTTTTTGTGGTGAGAACATTTACGTTCGACCGTCTTGGCAACTTTCAAGTATGTAATACAGTATTATCAACTATAATCCCCACAGTGTGCATTAGATCCCCAGAACTTATCAACTAGAAGTTTGTACACTTTGGCTGACATCTCCCCATCCCTGCCCCCGCTCCCGTTTCTACCACATTCTACTCCTGTTTCTTGGAGTTTGGCTTTTTAGATTCCATAAACGAGTGATATCATGCGCAGATACCTCTTTGAGATACTGTATTCATTTCCTTTGAATATTTGCCCAGAAGTGGGATTGCAGGATCCTACGGGAGTTCTATCTTTAATTTTTTAAGGAATCTCCGAATTGTTTCCCATAGTGGCTACGCTGATCTACATGTTCACCAACACTCAACAACTCTTTTCTTTTTGATGACAGCCATTCTCACAGGTGTGAGGTGGTATCTCATTGTGGTTTTAAATTGCAGTTCCCTACTGGAGAGTGTTATGCTAAGTGAAATAAGTCATACAGAGAAGGACAGATTCCATATGTTTTCACTCCTATGTGGATCCTGAGAAACTTAACAGAAGACCATGGGGGGAGGGGAGGAAAAAAAATGGTTAGAGAGGGAGGGAGCCAAGAGACTCCTAAAAACTGAGAACAAACTGAGGGTTTATGGGGGGTGGGAGGGAGGGGTGGGTGGGTGATGGGTATTGAGGGCACCTGTTGGGATGAGCACTGGGTGTTGTATGGAAACCAATTTGACAATAAGTTTCATAATAAAAATTGCATTTCCCTGACCACGTGATATTGAGCATCTTTTCATGTACTTGTTAGCCATTTGTATGTCATTTTTGGAAAAATATTGGTGAAGTTCTGCCCATTTTTAATCAGATTTTTTTTGGTACCAGTTCTTCATATGTTTTAGGTATTAACCCCTTATCAGAGGTAGGATTTGTACATATGCTCTCCTATTGTGTAGGTTGCTTTTTCATTTTTTAAATTCTTTTGCTTTGCAGGAGCTTCTTAGTTTGATGTGGTCTCACTTATAAATTTTGGCGACTGTTACTTGTGCTTTTCGTGTCCCATCCAAAAAATTGTTGCCAAGAGCAATGTCAGGGAGCTTTTCCCCTATGTTTCCTTCTGGAGGTTTTATGGTTTCAGTCGTTACGTTTTAAGTCTTTAATCCATTTTGAGTTAATTTTTGTGACTGCTGTGTCTGCAGGCTGTTATACTATTTTCCCAACACCATTTATCGGAGAGACTATCCTTTCCTCACTGAGTATTCTCGGCTCCTTTATCAAATGTTAGTTGAACGTATTGGAGGGTTTATTTCTAGGCTATCAATTCTGTTCCATTGGTCTGTGCCTATTTTCATGCGAGTACCATACTGTTTGGATTACTATAGCTTTGTAGTATAATTTGAAGTCAGCAAGTGTGATGCTTCCAGCTTTGTTGTTTTTTGTTGGGTTTACTTTGGCTATTTATGATCTTTTGTGGTCTCATACAAATTTTAGGATTGCTTTTTCGATTTCTGTGGAAAACACCGTTGGGATTTTGATAGGGATTGCATTTAATCTACAGATGGCTTAGGGTAGAATGGACATTTTAATATTGTTAATTCTTCTCATCCATGAATATGGGATATCTTTCTATTTGTGTCCTCAGTTTCTTTCATTAGTCTTGCAGATTTCGGTATACAGATCTTTCACCTCTTTCACTGAATTGATTTCTAAGTCTTTTATTGTGTTTGATGCTATTGTGAATGGGATTGCTTTATTTCTCCTTTAGGTGTGTTGTTGTTAGTGCATAGAAACACAAATGATTTCTGTACGTTGATTTTGTATCCTGCAACTTTACAGAGTTTGTTGACTAGCTCTGACAGCCTTATGGTAGTCTTTAGGATTTTCTATATATAAAATCATATGATCTGCAAACAAAGACATTTTTACTTCTGTGTTTCCAGTTTGGATGCCTTTTATTTCGTTTTCTTACCTGATTGCTTTGGATAGGCTTTTTCAGTACTTTGTTGAATATGAGTGGTAAGAATTGGCCTTGTTCCTGACATTAGAGGAAAAGCTTTCAGTCTTTCACCATTGAGTTTGATGTTAGCTGCAGGCTGGTTGTATATGGCCTTTATTATGTGGAGGTGTATTCCTTCTACACCCAATTTGTTGAGCATTTTTATTATGAAGGGATGGTATATTTTGTTAAATGATTTTTCTTCCTGAGGTGAACATACGATTTTACCGTTCATTCTATGTAGTGTATCCTATATTGATTTTCGTATGTTGGACCATCCTAGCATCTGAGGGATAAATCCCACTTGGTAATGCTGGCCTTGTAAAATGAGCTGGGGAGTTGAAAGGATAGGTTTTGCAAGCAGCTATTAGGTCCATTGGGTCTGTGAGCTTATAAAATCTTCACCAGTCTTTTCTTTCTTATTTTGAACACAGACCGTCCACCTGGAACTGGGAAAAGCTCAGGGAACACAGAGACAAAGAGGAACCGAGTTTCTGTGCTTGAGGAGCCCTCAGTGTGTGGTCGAGGTGAGCCGGCTGTCGATGTAAATGGTAATTATGACGCATTGTACGAAGCCATATAAGGGGATGATCAATGCAGGGCCCTCCCATCTTGGTGACCCTGCATGTCTTCAATCTCGGCCACTTCTGCCGCTCCCCTCTCCATTTACTACTTAGGGTTGCTAGTCTAGGAGATGTGTATCTTGTTTTCGAGTACAACTGTGTCATGTTTTCTGTCTTATTTTGTCTCTCACTGTTGGTGTTTAGTGGAGGGTTGATGGAGGTAGTAGTGAGTTATCAAAGTGAATTTGCGTGGCATCTTGATCAGAATACGTTACTGCTACCACTGCAAAGGTTTACTAAAATACTCCCACGTGTCAGGCTCTGTACAAAGAGCCTTACTTGCATTCATTGAGTATAGCCCTCCCAGCGACCCTTTGGCAAATCCCGTTCATGGTTGACAAGACAGGCTCAGAAAGTTTAGAGATGAGTTGCCTATACTTAACATCATTAGCAACTCTTAGGGCCTGGATTTGAACCTGGGTCTGAGATTAATACTGGTAAACTTATCCTCCATTTTGGATGGCTTCTGAAAGTGCCTCCCTTCCCCCACCCGGCGAAGGTTGCCCTTCTGTGCACTTGGGTTTACTGTCCAGAGAGGAAGGATGCTATTCCATTTGAAGGAAACCTGCCCGCATCGAAATCACATTCCCTCAGCGGGCTTACTTCTCCTAGGAAACAACCTTCTGTGTCTCACCATACCCTGGGGATAGGGGGAGACATGAATCACCACTTTTGGGGACGCACCTCATTGTTCTGAGCAAGCTCTTTCTTCCATCATCACCTCTCATCTAGTTCCGTGGTCTCCCGGGAGCCCCAGACAGTGACAAAAGGCCACTTTGTGTGGTCTAGGGAGTCCTTTCCATGGTGAGATCACATTGTAATGTGGGAGATTTGTGGAAGTAAAGAGCAGGTAGATGCTGGGATCGAGTTCCTCCTGGCTAATTTCCGCCTTTGTCTGTTCTTGCCTTGAAGTTGAACCCATGAGAGGCTTACCACGTTTGAACTAGTTCTGATGGGGGTAGGACAGAGTCCACGCTTCCTCACCCCTGTCTACAAGCACGCGCCATGCCTCCAGCCACAACCGCAGGACTCATGGACTCCACTCAGAGTCAGGTAGGCCTCCAACCACCAGCTAGACCTGGAACCCAGGGAACCGGGTACTCGGGTAGCCTTCCTGGAATAGTATTCTTCCCAGTATGTACTCTGTTCCACACTTTGATTTAGGCTATAGGGTGGACTTCGGCCTTGAGCCCCACACCAACGTATGATTCGCTGCCCCTCTAACACTCCAGACTCATGCCCCATCCACACCTAGTCAGAGCCCTATTCTGAAGCCCTACCCAACTGGTGTATATTTTATTTTTTCTGCCTTGGTCCTTCTGACCCAGCTCCCTAAGACTGGGGCTGCTTTTTACACCCAGGCCCCAGGCTCAGTCTTGGTGCCTGTGGATGATGCTTGGATATTAGTCACCAGGCTGGTTTTTGCTTTACTGTTGACTTTTACAGAGTTAGAGGCTTCATCTCTTTCTCTCCCCCTCATATACAAAAATGATCGGATGGAATTCTGATTTTCGGTAGAGGAAAAGAAAACCTGGAATAAGGACCACGTCCTGGCCCCCAAGATGGTGCGTGGGTCTGCGTGTGCATTGCAAGGCTCAGACAGGGTGATTCTGGAAACTCTGTAAAATCAGCTTGGGAGGAACTGCAGGATGCATTTAAGGGGAAACCCAAGACATAGACTTGCCCCAGGATGGCCTGGGAGGTGCTGCGTGGTGAGTGAGGAAAATCATTTCACCAATGTTGGCAATCACTCACCCTCTTTCCAGCCCGGAGGGATGAGGGCTGTTGGACAACAATTTATTGCCTTTCCCCCAAAGGACAGAAAAACAGTTGCCACAGGGTAGATAGGACAAACTGTGAAGTACAGTTCAGCCTTGAGGAATACAGGTTTGAACTGCATGCGTTCACTCATACGCATGGAATTTTTTTTTTTTTAAATAAATACAGTAGTGTCCCTTTATTTTCTTTGATTTTCTTAACATTGTCTTTTGTCTTCCTTAGAACATACAAAATATGTGTTAATTAACTACTTATGTTACCAGTAAGGCTTCCAGTCAACAGTACGGTGTGAGTAGTTGAGTTTTGGGGAAATCAAAAGCTCTACGTGGATTTGACTGTGTGGGGGTCAGCTGCCCCACCCCCTGTGTTGTTTAAGGGTCAACTGCCTATTAGTAGGGGATCTGATGGATTTAACTGTATTTTTGAGGAATGCTAATTCCGTTAAGCAAGTAGCACTTATTAATTAATTTAGGGGGTAACCTGAAGTTTCATTTACAGAAGAGGAAAATGAATATGGAAAAAAGGCATTTTCTCCTATCTTGGCCAGAAGCTCACATTGCTTCATTTGTGGTTGGGGTAGGTATTTGAAATGAAATGTCAAGGGACACCACAAGGAGGACATTTCTGCTTCAGTTGGTCACTTGCTTCCAATTCTGCCTTATGAAACATGAACTTAATTCCCCACCACGATGGTCGTGAATATCCCTTTCTCAGGGACATTTTACAAAATGCCTGAGTGGCGTTTTGATAGTTAATTGTTCACATGTGGATTATTCGTTTGTGATCAATCTGTGAACACTTCTTTTTACTCCCCGCACAGACTGGTCTAATGGCAAGAAGCAACGAACTAGGAATGGGGAAGACGGTAAAGCAGGTTACACAGTTCCTGACATGCAGAAAATGATCAATAGAGGTTAGTTGTTGTAATCATTGTTAGGTGTGGCCACTTAAACATATGACTTTAGGCAAGCTGCTGGGACTCTCTTATAGATTAGAGTGGCTTGCCTACACTCTGGGGTTCCAGCAATAATAAATGAAGATAAAGACAATTAGAAATACTTTGAAAGAGGACAATCCAAGGCAAGACCTTGTGATTTCCCTTATCACCCAACAAGCTTCTGGAACCACATCATCACTAGCCGGTGCATAATCCTGGAGTGCAAAGTGGTTTTATTATTCCCTGAAAGAGATATAATAAAGTCAGGAAAGTCCAATGTGTGGGGCTTTCCTAAATATAAGGGAACTATATATATTATATATTATTATAATATAATATAATATAATATGATATAATATAATATAATATAATATATATGTAACATATGTAATATATATATGTATATATTATATATCATATATATGTATATATATGTATATATACATATATATGATATATATGGATATATATGATATATATGTATATATACACCATATATATGTATCTGTATATATATACACATATATATACATATATACATATATACACCATATATATGTATCTCTATATATACACATATATATACATATATACATATATATGTATATATATGGTATATATAGATATATATATGAATATCGTATATATACAGCATATATATGTATCTATATATATACACCATATATACATATATACGTATATATCCATATATATGATATGAACAACATATATATATGTTATATGTATAACCTTAAATATAAAGGGATGTTGGCTTTCTCCAGTTGTGGGTTTTCAAAATCAGAACTTGACTTCCACCAATATGGACAACTGCCCACAGGCTACATCTAGTCCTTCCTCTTCGTGGTTAGCCTGGCGTAGAAAAGTGCTTCCGCATCGACTCTGGGAAGTAGCAGCGCGGAGGGTTACCTGTAGGTTGTATCAACACTCAGGTTGGCTGCAGCTAACTCTGATGGAGGTATCCACGCAGGTAAGGTGTTCCCAGCAACCCATTTTGTCCACTCAAATAAGCCAGGCTCTACACGGATCTTCAAGTGATTTTCTTGTTGTAGACCTTAGAGGTAAAATAAAATGAAGATGAAGGCAATACCACTGTGTTCTCAGTGGAGAAGTAAATCAGAGGCCAAGTTGCTATAAAACTTCGGGTAAATCTGTTCTCTTTTACCCGTTGCTCTACACGGCTATAAGAAGGTGGAAAGCATGTGGGTTTGGACAAGGGTTTTTAATTTCCATGTGTGACAGACATTCGAGTTTAATAGTCTGGCCACACCAACAGGATGTATGCTGGCTTTAAGTGGTCTCTGACTTAAGGAAAAGAACACAAGTCCTTCCCCCATATAATGTATACACTTCTGTGACTACAATTCCTTTTTCTAAGGTAAGTCCCAAGATTGCCTTACTAAGGAACTTAAGGGGTGCCAGGGTGGCTCATGGCTTGAGCATCCGACTCTTGATTTTGGCTCAGGTCATGACTCCAGGGTTGTGGGATCGAGCCCTGTGACTAGCCTGCCTAAGATTCTCTCCTTCTCTCTCCCAGACTCTCTCGCTCTCAACAACAAACAAAATTTCAGAAAGTCTCTTAGCATCCACTACTCTACAATAGCTTACACTGTATTTGAATATCATGTAAATTACTCATTTTCTCTACCAGAAAATCCAATGTTGAATATTTGCAAGTGCCAGTGCACAAGTCTTGTGTTTTTTCAAAGGGTGATTACTCACAGAGTGGGACTGGTCCCTTTTTAACATTCTTTGTATTGCCTTTTGCCCAGTTTTTCTGTGCAAATTTAGTACATACGGTATTTTAATACACACATGTATTCTGGTTTACTTAAGGAAGTCTCAAAGATAGTGTAAATTCTTCATTGGCTTGGCTATTTCTGGCTCCTTTGTTTTTTGGTATAAGTGAATAGTTCCCCTCTGTTTCTACTACTCTTCCTTCCCATGAAATGAGACTGGAGATCCCTGTAACTCAAGCATCCCCAGATTTTCGGGTGAAAGTTGTGTATCTTTATAGCAATGGTACTTTTAAAGTCATCCAATTAACTAAAGAAACAAGGATGATTAAGATTTGTAGACACTTAGGAGCATCGTTGCTACTATAAACGAGAAGCAACCAGAGCAGAGTGGGAGGAAATGATTTCACTGTTTCACTGCAAAAAAGGGATCACTCTGTAGGCTCCAAATTATTGCTAGACAACGATATTCTACAAGGCTACCATTCATCCAAGAGGGCTTTGCATTTTCAAGAGAAAAATTGTTTATCCTTTCATCTTATTTAGGCCACCAGAGTATGATTTGGGGACTCTTTGCAAAGACCTCTTCCATAGGAATCCTGGCTAAAAATTGCAAAAGTTTTTAAGTTTTTCTTTTCTTTGAGAGGAAAAGTACAAGTGAGAGAGAGGCAGAGAGCGAGAGGCACCGAATCCGAAGCAGGCTCTGAGCTGTCAGCACGGGGCTCGAACCCACAAACTGGGAGATCATGGCCTGAGCCGAAGTCAGATGCTTAACCAACTGAGCCACCCAGGCGCCCCTAAAAATTCCCAATGTGAAGCTCTCAATTGGCTCATGTCCCATGAGTCCAGGGTAATTTGGGTGTGGGGCTGCCTAGAGGCAGAAGGGTGGAGTTAGTCGACCTTTGTCGAGTCTAACCTTTCAAGATGTTGTACGCAGTCTGAACACAACGCAGAGATGGGGAGCAGTAGACGTGGTCGATAATGGTGTTGCTCTCTAATAAGGCTTCACCTGCAAAGGAAGGCAGACCGTTTGCTGAATTCACCCAGCCTCAGCTGGACCTCCGTGTGGGAGGGGGTGGCGGGCAGAGCCTGCGAACCCCTTTTTCAGCGGGGGCTCACACAGAGCCGGCAGTATCAGCCTCGTTTCTGGCCCATCCCCTCATCTGGGTTCCCATGAAAGAGCCCCGGTGGAAGACCCCCCGCCTCGTCTTTTTCTCTGCTTCTCTCTGGTGCTAACGAGCAGCAACTTACCCATCTAGGAGAGACCCCGAAACCTGACCGTGCTCTGATTTGCCACTTGTGATGTAAGCGAGATGGTTTCTATTGTGACCGTTAGGTCTTGTTTCACACTTAGCCCGTGCCGAACAAGATCTCAACCTGTCATCGTCTTATTAGAGAACAGAGGTAGATCCCAACACCTGCTGCTTCCACACTTCCTCACAGAATACGCTTCTTTTCTCTACTGGATAAAGTCTAGATGCCTTAATATGGGGGGCAAGGTCTTCCGTAAACTTGTCTTTATCCGCGTCACCGACCTTCTCTCCTGTGTGGCTCACAAGCCATGTTCTAGAAAACGAGAGCTTTTTCCCAAGGACTTTTGATATTATTTCTCACATCTATGACTTCGTTTTTCTCCCCTCTTGGGAACACACTTCCCACCTTCCCGCTCTTTCTCTACCCAGCTGACTTCCCTTCTCTTTGTGTGTGCGTGTGTTTTAATGCTCCCATATTACTCTGTACACAGTTCTATTCCTGACAATACCAGACTGTACAAGTTTGTTCCCCTGAGGGCGGGGACTCTGCTTGCGACCCCAGCACCTAGCAAAGGACCTCGCCCCAAGCGATCAGTGAATATGCTGTCTCTGCCTGGCAGGTATGGAACAGACCTGCAAAGAACGGACCGTCTTCAAAGGATCAGTTGGCCTGTCTACATCCAGCCACTCCAGGATTCTCCTCCCCTGCGCAGTAGACGCTGACCTTGCCCCATCACTGGGCCACACAGCCCTCAAGGGGTCACACCTGCTTCACTTTGGTAAACCGGCCTAGCGCCCAGCACAGTGTCCTGAACTTAATGGTTATGTAATAAATCCCTTTTGAATTGGAGAAATACACTACTTGTAGGAAAGTTGGAGGAAGCCCTGGGAAGTGTCCTGGCCTGCCCACTGGAACCTGGCCTGCCCACTGCTCCTTTGGAAGGAGCAGCCAGGAGAGGCTGTGCAATCACCCCAGGACACTCACCCACCAGTCTTGCTTGCATACATCCAAACACGGTGATCGGAGCATCTTTCTCATAGTCCCGGAAACCACCACTCCGCTGAGGTAAGCTATGAGGCATGTTCAGGTTGGTGCGTATGTAGCGGCCTGGAAAGAAAAGAAAAAAAAAAAAAAAAATCAGACAAAAGACGACTTTCTGTTTTCCTCAGGACTTCTGTTGCGGATCCCGACAGCCCTCCACTTCCATTCCTTGTTTGGCCAAAGACACCGAATTGAACTTTCTAGAAACTTATTGAGGCTGACGCTTTTTCTGTGGTAGAGTCTTGGAATCCGCCCCTCCGTTCTACTGACAGAAAACTACCCCTTGCCACGTCTGTGTGAAAGTAACAACCGTACACTGGAAGGCAGGAGGATTCTGTGCTATGCCGGCTTCTCTTGGACATGTCACTCAAAGGGAACTGGAACCAAAATGAGCCAGGGTGATTTAATGGAGGCAATTCTGGCCACAGAATCAGGACACCTGTCTCTGCCTCTGCCAAACGACCACGGGCGAGACATTTGTTTCTTTGGTCCTTGGTGTCCCAGTTTATGGAATAGGGGACAAGAACACTTACCTCTTCGCTAACACTCAAGACAATCGGGAAGGACTCAGATTGTAACACATTCTAGGCATTTCCTATATAGCACGGGAACCAGGAAGGACCCCCGTCTAGACGAATGTAGCTTGACTGTGCCCCCTAGAGGCCATAAAAGGTACGCCGATGCTAAGCAGGCCAACGCAGCACTCACCTTTGGCATCAAAGCACTGGGATAGCCAGTACTTCCCAAACACAACATCCATCCTCTCACCGTGCCGACACACAAAGAGGCATCTCTTCTGAGGGCCAGGCTGGCTATTGACCCTGAGGGGCTGCAGAGCAAGAAAGGCCATTAGTGGGGGGGGGGGGGGGCCCCCGGAAAGCACAGAAGAAAACGGACATGTCCTGGAGCCAGGTGCCAGATGAGCAGAACTGAGCTCTAGGACAAGGGCCCTGCAACGATCTTGGATTAACGTTGGCAGGTCTGTAACACAGTGGGGGCAGGAAGACGCCTCCTACAGACCTCACAAGTTAGTTTGAGGCTCAGATGAGATGAATGGCACGCGTTCTGCAAAATCAGAAGGGCTGTGAAAATTGCCTCACCGTTGCGGTTGCGGTTGCCGGTGTGGGACTAGCATTTGGCCGGTAGGGGAACGGGCAGACCACTTGGGCTACCGCTCAGAGGTACATCCAGCCAGTACATGCCTCTAGTCATCTAGCCCCCCTCTACAGGGATACTTCATCAACTTCAGAGGGCGAGGACTGTTAATCACAACAGTGCCTGCCTCCCCTCTAACACATGGTGGGTAGACCGAATGGACGGTCTCCTCCAGCAACGAGGTTCTTCTCTGGCTATTCTAATCGTACTTTTGGCTCTCTTGTCTGGCTACACGCGCGTTGGTGTTCCCGCAAATGGTTCAGGGAGGTCAGCGGTGACGAAATAGGCCAGTCTAGTTAAAGGCGTGTCCAAATGACCTTGGGTTCTGGAAGTGCTGGGTGGATCCTTCCACATGTTTCTATATTCCTTCCTTCTGATGGTCAGCTATTCCCCGTTTGCTTCGTGTGGTCACCTTCATGGAGGCTGGTACTTTACACGTGCTGCCCGTTAGTTGCCCCGACAGGGTTAATAGGTGGGATAATGGCATGATCTTTCCTGTTTCTTCTCCTGCTCGTCCCTAATTCGGGCCCTGGGCTCCAGCCAATGTGATCTAGTCTCTCAATCCTCCACTTGCCTCTGCCTCTCTTGTTCCAAACGATCCCCACCCCCACATTCTCCATTTTGCAACATCTCTGGCATCTGTTGAGCACTCAGACATACATACAGGTGCCAGGCACTGTGCCGAGGGCCTTATTTTCTTTTTAATCTCACGATGGCCTATGAAACGGAACTATTACGACTTTACAGGTAACACGTCCTTCCCTCTGTAGAACCTCTCTCCCTCTGCCAGCCTAGACCCAGATGCCGGTAGGTGCGATCAGTACCACCCACCCGACTCTCCCTGGCCTTAAATTCTGTGCGTCTTTTATAAAATTGTGCGTCGTCGCCCCCAAGAGACCTAGGACCCTTGGGGGCACCGAGGGCAAGCCCTCACACCCCGCAAAGACGTGCTCAGTGAATCCTGAAGCAGAGTCGAGGATGCGGCCCCGATGGTCAGCCTTACCTGCGTGGGCTGGCAGATGATAGTCAGGGGAGCCGTCTCCCCCAGGCCCTGGTCCTCATACTGCCGTCTGTCCACCACACCATCGCCAAATGAGAGGGCGTTAGAAGACGCCGTGTTCAAGATGGAGTGAGAACTATAGGGGAAGATGAGGACGCCGTGAACTGTTTGGGCCAGGAGTCATTAGCACGTCACCCTTGGGCTCAAGGGGGAGCGTGGGAATTCGCGGGAAACACGCCCAGGGCGACGGGTGGGAAAGCCGAGGAGGCGACACCCCCTTTCGGGAGGGGAACAGCTTGTTCTCTACTTAGGTCTTGCAGTGGCTAAACTAGGGGAAGATGGGTTTCTGTACTTGGAACAGATGTGTTCATCTCTCTGGGTAGGGATGGGGCCCTGAGTTCGTGCCAATCAGGATGCCACCGCCGCGGCTGGCGCCGAAGGCATGTTGAAGAATAATGAATTTTCAATTTTGTGCCATGGTTTCCAGCTATTTTTGTGGCTCCAAAGAAGAAAACAAGTCCTGTTGCCTTTAATCTTTTCCATGGCGATTTCCACCCGAACTGACAAACGAGAGGGAGGATCTGTACTGTCTCCACCAGTGTGCCTGTGGCTCTTAACTGATGGAGGAAACCCGATGGCCATCATCCTCTCTTCCACCGTCTTCGGTGGCCCCACCCCTCTCCCCAACTCAGTAACACCTCCAACACGATGATTAAACACAGAATTCTCTCGGAGGAAGCCGTTCTCGCCAGATGTATGGAGCCGTGGGCCAAGAGCTCTCATTTCTGGGTTTTACACCGTAGCTACAGAAGCCCCAAAGAGGCCTCGCTGACAGCGAGGCAGCAAATTATGCCATGTTTGAGTTACTGTGATTAGTAAGTCCTCCAAAAGGCTTTATCTAATAAACACTGCAATTCAACTACGGTCGCAAGGCGAATCCAGTGAACATCTCTTTCTGCCTCACTGAGCGGTGTTCAAGGGAGAGCATTTGCATTTGAGATTTCTCGCTTCTTTGCAGCCAGGGTAGCCGTATGTTTCAATCTGCTCAACCCCGGGTCCTGGTCTGTACCTGTTGACCTACTCTGTTCAGGAATATTTCATTTTAACACAGCAGTATTCTTCGAATTTCATTTTGGAAAAGCCCTTTTTATAGTCAGCGATGTAACAAAGCTAACTGGCTGTTAGGAAAACAGTTTTTTTTTTTTTTAAGGCTCTTAAGAATTTTAGGATCCCCTTCCAGTCTCTTTTTTTTTTGACTGTAAATAGACTCCTCCTACTGACAAAGGCTTCAGAAGCCTCACACCCTGCAGAAGTGGCCTTTCAGCCCTAGTGCATATCAGAATCGCCAGGAGAGCTTTAAAAAAAAATACACGGCTGGGCCCGACTTGTCACAGATTGTGATTCAGCAGATCTGGGCGCGGAGGGGGGTGGGGGTGGGGGATGGGGGGGTGGCGGGAAGCTGTCATCTAACAAAGCTGCATCAGCAAGTGTGACGTGCAGCCTGAGAGACCAACTGGAAAAATTAAGCGACTGTAGACCAAGAAAATCTAGTGCCATTCACAGTCGGAGAGACAGGCTGTTCTCCTTTGCAAACATCACAGTTAAAGAAAATTTGGTTTCGCCGTCTGATTCATCAAAGCTTCGGGGCCTGAAGTGTCTGGATAGACAGAATCGGCTTGACGTCCTGCTTGTACACGTCCCTTAATTTCTTTATTACAGCTGTGAAGACACTGGCAGAGTCCCTCCTCTCTCTCTCTCTCCCCTCTCCAGCTCGGTTGGCACGGAGAATGCCGACCTTCTTCTCAACTGTCACTGTAATCAAAGGACCGGGCTCACTTTGAGACAGTCTGGTGCTGTCACTCCCATTAAGACAACAGTCAGATGCTTTGTGCTGAGCGATTGCGTAGGGAGGAAGCTGAGCCTGATACCCAGGACATCTTCTCAAGGACCAGGGCCAGGTGCTGGCACTTTCCCAGACACAGCAGTCCTGTGCGCAAGCCCGGAAGGACCGGCCAGCCCCCACCCATAATTCAAAGGACACAGTGGGGCTTCACCAACTGACAAGTACTGAGAGACACTCAGAACCAGGCGAGATGCCCTAGTCAGGGTCCTCAGGGGCCACCCGGGTGGCTCGGTCGGTCGAGCGGCGGACTTCCCCTCGGGTCATGATCTCGCGGTTTGGGAGTTCGAGCCCCACGTTGGGCTCGCTGTCAGCGCAGAGCCCGCTTCAGAGCCTCTGTCTTCCTCTCTCTCTCTCTGCCCCTCTCCTGCTCACACTTTCTCTCTCAAAAATAAATAAACGTTAAAAAATAGCTAAAAAATACTTTCTTATGAGTGACTTAGAACTGAGGAGAACCGGGCAGAAAGGGCGATGAACGGTCACTCCCTGTGGCCTGAGTCCCCTCTGCGACCTGCCACCGGGTCGGCCAGGTCACTGAAGGAGCATCTCCTGTGGCTGTACCTCCTCAAGGCTAACTTTAGTTGGGGGAGAGAGAAGATCCGTCTTATCAGGAGCCTCCTTACATCCTTTCTGCTTCTGGAGTTAAATAGGAAAGTACAGTTCTTCTATAGGATCACCTCGGGAAGAGACATTTGATTGGACAAGCATGTAAGAGAGGACTGGAAAACACGAGGTAGAAAAATCAGAAAGCTACCAGCCTTTTAGCTTCAGTGCTATTACGGGCGTGGCACTTACCCGTGTAAAGCTAAGTCCTTCACTGTGGTCTTTATAACGCTCCTGTGAGGTAAATGCCAATTATCCTCCCCGCCTTATAGAGTAACAGACGGGGGCTCAGAGAGGTAATGTAACTTGGCCAAGGTCACACAGCTTTTAAGTGGGGGTGTTAAGATTTGAACCCAAGATTGGCGGCCTAAAAACTCAAATTCTTGATTACGGGGTCCTAACACCTAACACTAGCCTTTCCCCACTCTCAGCAGCACTGGCTGCGGAAGCTGACAGTTTCAGATACGGTTCCAGGGCAGCAGCATCGGTAGGGACCTCTCCAGAGAAAAGGAGGTGGCACGCAAACGTCCCTGTGGTCCGTGGACCCATGTTTCCGCCTGAGCTCTAATTTGGACAGCGGTGGGTCTGGAAACAGTACTCTGGCATGGGTCAGCAGGCCTTCTCCCACCTACTCTGCTCCAACTTCTAGCCCGACTTTTTTTTTTAAAAAAAAAAAAAGGTCTGAGAGCTGTGCATCATATCATCTTAGCGTTCACTGTATCCACGGATAATATGCTTCACTCGTTTTTCTAAGGGATAAAACGGTGACTTTGGAAACACAACGTAGATGTTCAGAAGCCTTTCTGAGAACGCAAATGTTTGGGGGAACACGAGGCAGCTTTGACCTTGCGACTGTGCCCTGAAAAGCTAGATGTTCCCGGGCGGGGGTGGACCAAAAGGAAGCGGAAGGAATTGCTGGGTAGGGGGTTGTTAAGGAGGAAGGTGTTCTCTCCCATCTTTGGGTTTGTGGTTTGCCTGCTTGCTGCTGACTGGGGGGGAGAGAACCTTTCCTTTTCTCCCTCCGGGCAACGCGCTCCCTGAAAGTGCCCCTCTCGCCTTCTCTCCCGTGGCGGTAATAACGATGTTAGACGCACCACGCAGCTGGTGCTCGGAGCTTCCGGCTCTCAGCCACGTTGGCACAGAGCAAGAACAAGAGAGAGGAAAAACAAATCAGCAGGCGCACCCTGGCGAGACGCCTGCGTGTGCTAGGGAAGGGCTGGCTGGCTTTGAGCGTCTCCGATTAAGAAAGAGAAGGTGCCTCCTGTGCCCGTTTCATCTACAGCACGGGCCACGCTGACCGAGCGACCAGTTTGGTTTGGGGGCAAACCAGTCGTGAGGGAGGGGTGGAAAGTTCCCACTCTAGAGGACACTAGGGGCCCCGCCTGTCTTTTTACAGCTCTGGCAGTTGCCCATTTCTTTAGACGGTCTCTCTCTCTCTAGGTGCTTATGCGCCACGTCGGAGGACTCGCTCAAGGCCACCTAGCAGGCGAGCGGCAGTTAGGTCTCCTGACCCTTGCAAAGCCTTCCACTGCCGGTCTGGCTGGCTTATTGGGAACCTGCCCAGCGGTTCTGGGGAGTCAGACCACTCTTGAGCAACGGCCCAGGACAGAGCGGACAGGAGCCCCAAAAGCACTGGGATGACCCATGCTTCACAGCCAGGCAGATGGACCCCCGCGCGGGGCCCGCCGCCCCCCCTCCCCCCCCCCCCCCCCAAGCTGCCTCAGTTGAGTCTCTGACCAGGGACTCCGTTCCATCAAATGGGGCAGGCAGCGAGAAGCGGAGCGGACCCATCCCTCATTTTCCCATGCCCCAGGTCGGCCCTTCCCTGAACGTCCTGAACCAACAGCTTTCCTCCCATCTCCCGAGCCCGTTTCCCCACCATCTGCCCACAGCCCGTGGTGGTCTCCCAAAGCAGCAGGTGAAGAACGCGAGTCTGCTTACCCGTGAAATATCCAGGTGCTGCATTCGTCGGCCTTGGTGATGTAATTCTCCGGCAACAGTCCGGAGCAGCCCGTGGTTAAGGACGTGCCGTAGATCCAGCCCTCGCTGGTGCTGGTCTGCTCCATCGGAGACATGAAGACGAAATCCCCAGGGACCAGCTCTAGCTCGTCGTCATTCTGTGGGGTGTACGGGTAGATCACCTGGAGCGTCTGAGAGAGGAGGAGAGGGAGGAGTGAGGCCCAGTCCGAGCGCCTCCGGGGCACGTCTGCATGTCCTGCTTCCAGATGCGGACCTTGCAGGCGCCCCTGGGGTCTGCAGGCTCTGAGTAGATTTGCACTCCGATCCGAAAGCATGTCTCCCCCCCAAGGTATTGTAGATGTGTGCCTGGTCCTGCTGGATGGTTCCAGACTTCCCTTCAGGCAGGCCTTTCTTCCTTTCGGGATTCAAGATAGTTTTCTGAAATTTATCTGAAAGCCCGTAGGTGCTCTGTTAAGCTGCTATACAAATGGGGTTGGACCTATCTCCCCTTCTCCATCTGCGGTAGGCACCCTAATAGACACCTGAAACCCCACTCATGGAAAGCCAGTCTTCCGTATGGGGGTTACAGACGGTCTGGGTGCAGACACTCTCCTGTAGGAAGGCTTTGGGAGCGACGCATTTCCCCTTATAAGTCACTCTGGGGCTTAAACAAGGCAGTCTCTGCCTTCAAGGATCTTTCTTTAAACCTACATTAAAAAAAAAATTTTTTTTTTAACGTCTATTTTTGAGGGGGAGGGGAAGGGGCAGAGAGGCAGAGGGAGACACAGACTCCTAAAGCAGGCTCCAGGCTCCCAGCAGTCGGCACAGAGCCCGACGCGGGGCTCGAACTCCCAAACCTTGAGATCATGACCTGAGCCGAAGTCCGATGCTTAACCAACTGAGCCACCCTGGCGCCCCTAAACCTACGTTTTCGACAAAGACCTTGAAAGAAAAATATCTTTCACAGCCATCAGCGTATACGGTACGTCTGTGTAACCAGCTTTCACCGGCAACCAGATGGAAACCACGTGTCTCTTCTCTGGGCTCATAAAGAGCCTTCAGAGCCAACCAGAGGCCATACTGCTTGGCTGACGCCCTTGATGTTTTGCGTCCTTTCCCGGTAGACACAAACAGCATGGGCACGAAGATATTTTGGAAAAACATCGTCCTGATTTCTCATTAACAGCAAGGGTCCTCAATTGTAAGGAAGACATTTCTATCCTATTTATCTCACATGGGACACTGAGATGGAGATACTTTAACAGACTTTCCTGAAGTTCCAAAGTCATTCCTGGCAGGCTAACCATTCTGCTTCCACCTTCAGGCTGTTAACTTGGGCCTCTGTTTTCTCATCGGTAACCTGATGCCTGGATTATAACAGTTAATGAGACCATCTAAGGAAACTCTTTAGGACGGAGCCCGTATCCAGAAGGCACATCATTATGTCTATTGAACCAGGACACCTGATCTGCCTTCTCGCCTGATGCCCCGGACTGTGTGCTCGTGAGCTAATCAGCTCTCTCTGTGTCTGTCAAGGTGACACATCGGAACGTGTTTCATGGAACTTCCTTCTGGAAGTCTCTAAGGAAAGGCACTGGCAAAAAGGTGATTTTTTTTTTCCTCAGAGAATGCAAATAAAAATGCACAGGACTCCGTGGTACCGCTGGATTCTGATTTTCCTTTTGCTTGGGGCCCCTGTTTCTTTCCCTATTTCTTTTCCAGTATCTTTCAGCTCCAGATCGTTGCCCCTGGTGGCCTCCTGCTCCTTCCCCTGTCCTCTGCCACGTTCGTGCTCAAACCACCATTTCCAAACTAGCCAGGGAGGTAGTTTCTGCTTCGTTGTGAAAACAGCTTGCGGAAAGAAAAGAAAAACTCTCTTAAACTAGGTATGCGATGATCCACCAAAAGGAACACTCCTTTTCCCGGAACAGGGTGGAGAGAGGCACCGAGTCATGGGGGAACAAGTCGAAACTTCTCTTAGATCCTCAAGCACAGCATAGTTTTGACTAATTAATTATGCCTTTGGCCCAGAAGTGTCTTTCCTTTGAGAAACTCAAAGTGACTTCAGAACACTCGTTCCCCCTATCACTTGGCGGGGGCAGGGTGAGTATTCTGTCTCCAGGTTACCTCCAGGGAAATCGAGGCACAGCAAAGGAGCATAGGAGACCTTGTGTCCTAGGACCTTGTGTCCTAGACCTTGTGTCCTAGGGTAGTTAGGCGACAAGGAGCTTCGATTTATTGAATAAGCA